GGGTCTGGGTGGGATGGTTAGTGCAGACCCGATGGGCCGAATTGCCTCTTTCTATACAGTAGGAATTCTATGATTCTATGAATTGTGTGCACTTTCAGCAGCACTACGCTTGAGCCTGCTGTTTTCTGTCACTTCCAAACAATGTCAGGTACCTCTTTGCAAACGCACACTCTCTGTGCCACTAGGAAGTGGCGTTTGGAGCATCCAAAGACAGAAGGTTCTTTGTTCCATTTCCAGTCTACATGGGGACAGCAATTGACATGAAAACACTTAGCAAGGGCAGGAACTTCATTTATATAGTACCATGCACAAAATGAAGTTGTTACAAAGCATTCTGCAGCCAGTTCAAATACTTTTGAAGTGTATTCACAGGTGTAGGAAACACATAAATCAACTGGCATACAGAAATTCCCACAAACAGGCGTGAGACAAGATTTTAGATTGAGGTATTCGTTGAGGGATATTGGGTGGGACATGAGGGGAATGCCTCCCTGCTCTTCCTCAAATATTATCTTTAGGAGCCATGGATGTCTACTGAACAGCAAAAAGCCCTTCAGCCCATCGAGTCTGTGCCAGCCAAACACAACATTTGAAGAAGCTTGAGAGTATCCAGGACAAAGCAATATTTTTGGAGCTACTCCCATCCAGGGGAGCGGACAGTGTTCTATTATTCTACTGACTTGTGTTTTGTGGGCAAGGGACAGGTTTTGAAGAGTCACCACAGAATTCATAACTTCTGACCTGCTCTTGTTGCCACAGCATTTGTACAGCTGATCCAGCACAGTTTCTGATCAATGAAATCCCCTGGATGTTGATAGTGAAGGATTCAGCAATGGTGATGCCATTGAATGTCATGGTTAGATTCTATCTGGTCAGTGTCTGGTCAAAGGGGGTAGAAATGCTATTTGCTACTGATCAGCCCAAGCCTGGATACCGTGCAGATCTTGCTGCAAGATCTGAGTCCTTGAGAATGGTGCTGAATATTGCGCAATCATCAGTCAACGTCCAAACTTCTGAGCTTCTAATGAAAGGTCATTAATGAAGCATCTGCCCAGAGAAACACTT